TTTGCTTGTGCTGGGTCAGGTCCACGTGTCATTGTCTCAAGAGGTCGGGTCAAATCATCCTCCATCAATTGCCCCCCACTCCTCGGGCTAAGAGTGCTACCTTAGCGTGAGGAGTTCATGAAGTGGGACAGGTGGATTTGACCGAAGTTCAAACTTGATTGATTGCTCGCATTAAATGTGTGCGCAGAAGTCAGGAGATTTTTGACGTTTTGAATGTTGAGAAATGCGCCGAAGTGTCTCTTAACTCTGGATGTCGTGCAGCCGTCATTACCTCAATCATGGGAGACGTGCAGCCAGTCACATTTCGGTTTTCAGAAGACGTGCGGTCAGCTTGACTACGAACCGTCAAATCTGCCTCAATCTGGGTCGTTGGTCTAGGGGCACAGTGGCTATAAATATGAGGGCCCCCAGGGCTCATTTTCTTTCACGCTAACGTGCTGTGTTTGGATTCTGAGGTCGCACATCCATCTAGTCTGCCCGAGCTCTTCTCTTCACACCGTTTCATCTTTTCAGTGAGTCATTCATTTTGTCAATCATGTCTGGGTATCCATACCACGTTTATCCCCGAGATGGTGACCAGGACGACGACGCCCCCTCGAGCTCAGGGGGAGCTTGGGAGCAGTCTCGGGAGGCCTCCGGCGATGTGGCTTCTACCTCTCGGGGCAGAGAGCCCGACACCTTCGGTCCCTCCTTTATGACGATGGGGAGACTCAGATCTCTAGTCCGCCATTTTCACCTTCCCAGGGACCTTATCTACGGTCTCCCCTCTAGTAACTTTCCTTGGGAACATGGTCCCAATGATATAGTAATTTTCCAGGAACAGCTCGAGGCTGGCTTGCGTCTTCCCCTACACCCCCTAATAGTGGAGGTGTTGAATCATTTTAACGTCACCATTGACCAGCTCCATCCCAACGCCATCCGGAATGTGGTTGGGACCATTTCCCTATGCTATGAGTATTGCCTCCCCCTTGATCTCGATATCTTTTCTTCCATTCTCTATATTAAGAATGCCACTCCCGGAGCGCCTCTAGAAAGGCGTTCTTATTACTTTTCTCCCCACCGCGGCTTTAAGATTCTGCACGACCTGCCGAATAGGGTTCCCACCTGGAAGCGGGACTATTTTGTGGTCCGTAACCCCGAGGGGTGGCCCTTCCCAACTTCTTGGAGGGGCACCATCCAGGACCCCGAGGTTGAGTTGGACTCTAAAACTCAAAAAATGCTATTGTCCTGGGCAGTTGTAGGCCTTCTCTGTTCAGATTACTTGACCGATGAGAAGCTCGCGCAGGCTGGTCTGAGCCCAGGTAGGTTGTCTTTTAGGTCGCGTAGTGCCTTGTAAAAATATATCATGTGTATACATATATTTTCTTTTTTACTGGACTAATACCTTATGGTTTTTTGGCAGCCATCTTGTCTGGTGTTGACGCGCGCTGCCTTCTTTCCAGCAACCAAAAGCATAAGGCTAAGAGGTCGCGTCCTGACCGAACTCCCACTTCTGGGGGCACTAAGTTCAGCTCTGCTGAGCTAGACTTTGTTTCTCCACCGCCTAAAGTTCCATCGGCCCCATCTGAAGAAGGCATCAGAGAAGGTGGCCTCGAGGAGGGCGAGCTCCCGAGGCAAGGGGTGATTCCTCCTGGTCCCTCCCGCCCATTCCCCTACCCGCAGTTCTCGGTAGGGAACTGGGAGGGTGTCAACGATTACATCGTGGCTGGCCGAAAGAGCCGAAGGGCAATCTACCATGAGGAAGTCGCTAGGTGGGGGGAGATAGAGCCCAAGGCGCTCGCCGCGTTTGCCGCCTCCCACTGTATGGTGGTAAGTAGTCTTTTCTTTTTCTTCTCGTTCTTTCCCTTTTTTTGTTGTTCTCTGACCTTAGACCAACATCCACTCCGGTGACGCTCGCAATCAGAGGGCCATCGTCCAAAAGCTCCAGGGCGAGCTCGATCAGGCCCAAGGCGAGCTCCTTCAGACTCGCAAGGGGAGCGAGGCCCAGGAGCTGCTCACCCATGACCAGGAGGCACAGATCGCTAGGCTTTTTGAGGAGAGTGCGCGCTACAGGGAGGAGTCGTCGAGGGTGGCAGCGGAGAGGGAGCTCCTTCGCCAACAGGTTCGAGATTTAAAGTCTACACTTCTGGACCAAACTCAGAACTTTGACACCATGGTGGAGACTGAGCGGGCTAAGGCAGTCTGGGACTTCAAGGACACCCAAGAATACTACGACCTCCAAGTGGAGTATGGCTCGAGCTCGAACCGCTCCGGATTCAAGCTCTACTGCTGGTTAGTCCGAAAGAAGTTCTCTGGGCTCAATCTCGACGGCATCACAATGAAGGGCCTGGCTCCCGAGACGGCGGACCAGGCGGAGGAGGAGGAGCCTGACTCCCCAGAGGATGAGGACAAGGTGGAGGAGGTGGACCCTTGAGGCTGGCGGCTCTGTTTTTTCGCTTTTCTGACTGACTTCTAATGGTTCCCGGGTGCTAGAAACCCGGTTTTCAAAAAATCTTCTTCCTGGGCAGTTGTGCCCTTTTTAAATATTGTTGAACTTTCCCAAGCTGTTTAGCTCAATTTTTTATTTATGAAGTAGTAATGGAATTTTTCTTTTTCTTCTAAGTATGGTGTGCTCTTTTATTTTTTGCCAAAGCGATCTCATCACTCGAGATATTAGAGCTACATACCCAAAATATGATGTTTCGGTAATTATTACCCTAAGTTATCCCTTAGTGTCTCGAGGCATTTTGATAGAATGCCGCGA